TCTTGGTGATATAGCACATGACCTTGGGCACTTTTTCCATATAAAGTTGTCTTTTTTCCAGTTAGGTGCAAAGAGTGCACAAACACGAGGCATTTGAGGTGCGCACAAAACACTATCAATAGAAAATATATATTAAAAAGGTGCTTCTAACCACAGAAAAACAAGTTTGTGTGATTGGGTACTAATTAAGGTACAGCCAAATTTATCAGTCTGTGGTGGTTTTGTTATTCTTTGGCAATCCTAAGTTTAATTTTCTCATGCTCATTTGATCATTTGTAATGAAACGCATCCATTAATAGTTGTGCATAACATCCTTTCCAATAGCTACAACTAGTCAGATTTCTTTTGGCTGTATATAAAGTGGGCTATATAATTACAATTAAACTGTAAATAATTTTACCATTTTATTGTTGTTGTTGTTTTGTTTGAGTGCATGTATCAAGCAATTTAAAGTCTGTGTGAATGCCATATTTTGCTATCGCATTTTGTTATTCTTTAGGTGAACAAATAATCTGCAAGTCAATCCACTAAAAAAAAGTGTCTGACATATTGCTAAAGTAACAATACTAAGAATTACTCGATTAAGAGTTAAAAGTAGTTACTTTTAACTCTTTTTTTATTTAGTTTTGTGGAAAAAGATTATGAAAATGTTTAGGCCATGGTATTACAATGTTAAACCTGCTTATAGTTATCAAATAACCATTAACAAGGTTTAGATTTTTTAGATTTCCTTTATGTTTTTTAGTAAATTTGACCCTTCACTACCTGTTTCTTTAGGTTGGAGCTGGAATTATATGTTGCGGTTTCAGTTGGATGTACAGCACGCATCGCATTATGAAACTATTATTTTTGACATCATGAAAACACATCATTTTAGGCAGCGGGTGATTTTATCACCATCATAAATAAAATGTATGTTAACATTAAAAAATACTACAACATATATATATATATATATATATATATATATATATATATATATATATATATATATATATATATATATATTATATTATATTATATAATATTTAAACTTAATCCACAATATTATGTTGTATTTTGACTTATGAAAACATAAATGTTTGATTAATGATTTTATTTATGTTTAGCTTTTTAATGCATTCAGATAAGGATCACGTAAATATCAAGTTTTTGAAAATATACTATGCACATTAGAAATAAAAAAATGTTTACATTTCATATTGTTGTTATGTCGGATTATTTAATTTAATAAATTCCAGCGATTTAATGATAATGCAACAAATAACACTAATTGATAAAGTGTTGTAGGCTGCTAATATGCATTGGTGGAAGTTTTTGTTAGTGTCAGATTATTTAGTTTAATTTAAAGGTGATGCCGGGGTGTCACGGTGGCGCAGTGTTCGCTGGTTCAAGCCCCGGCTGGCATTTCTGTGTGGAATTTGCATGTTCTCCCCGTGTTCGCGTGGGTTTCCTCCGAGCGCTCCGGTTTCCGCCACAACCCAAAGACCTGCGCTATATGTGAATTGAATAAGCTAAATTGACCGTATAGTGTGTATGTGTGAATGCAGGAGTGTATGGGTGTTCTCCGGTGTTGAGTTGCGGCTGGAAGAACATTCGCTGCGTAAAACATATGCTGGATAAGTTGGCGGTTCTGCTATGGCGACCCCTGATGAATGAATGAATGAATGAATGAATGAATGGATGGATGGATGGATGGATGGATGGATGGATGGATGGATGGATGGATGGATGGATGGATGGATGGATGGATGGATGGATGGATGGATGAATGAATGAATGAATGAATGCTGGTTGGAGGGCCTACTATAAACCTTTTTTTTCCCTAGGGCCCTGACTCGAAAAGCCTCTGCAGAGTTCATGAAAGTACGCTGTGAGTAACACAATCAGGCGCAGGGTCGTCGTAAACGTGTGAAAAGGTTGTACTTTATATTCAGGTGTTGTGCAGAATTGGAGGACCGCCGTTCAACGAAACGAGCTTAACGCCTGGATAGAGGAAGACTTCCTTGTCCCTTTCTCTTCCTAGGGGGTTTCCAAGTTAGTGCAGAGCAGGCACAAAACATGAACTGCTGCCAACCTTGGATCATTGTACACACCCATCTGTTTGACTGCAAAACATTCCTTATTTCTGATAGTTAATGAATACACCATTGCGTGATTGCTCAATGATTAAATCATGGTATGTTTTACAAGACACGGGATATTTATTTCGAATAGAAAAAAGCATGTCTATAAGCACGATAAACTACACAGATCCAGACTTTTGTTTCTTTTATGTTTATTACTGCTTAAAAATGGGTGCTTTACGTGTATATTGCTTAAACAGTGCTTATAATGAGTTATGTCATATGATTATTCTTGCCGTTCACATTTTCATGCATGACTGTTTACCTCTTGATATCTATGCAAATTAAGAGATTTTAGTTGTTCATTTAATTTTGCATTTTCCGAGCTGAAAAATCGGTACACAATTACACTTGCTATTATTGTCGATTATATTAATTTATCAGTGATTTTTGCAATTTAGGCTACCTGTTTTATTATTTTTTTTTTCATAAAAGAAAATTAAGGCAGCAATAAAACTTTTTAAATTACATTTTTACAGATTTTTGCAGTGTAAAGAGGCAAACAGATTTAAAAAAAAAAACAGTTGGTGAGAAGTGTTTACAATGATGGTTTGTCCAAAAATAGACATTCTGTCATCATACACGCCCATTATTTGTTCAAAACATGTTTCTTTTATTTTCTATTGAGCATAAAAGAAGATATATATATATATATATATATATATATATATATATATATATATATATATATATATATATATATATATATATATATATATATATATATAGTAAGAAAAACAAATGCTATGAAATTAACTATAGTTACAGGTTTTCAACTTTTTTTCAAACTGTTATTGAACAAGTAAAAGGCGAGTAAAATATGTTTTCTTAAACAACTGCTGTGAATATAAGTTGAATGGTGATATGTAAAAGCATAAATTGTATTTTATATACATACAGTCAAATATCCGATATAATTTAAGTCTGAAACAGAAACTGCACAATGAAATTTGATATATTTTCTATTTTCCTCATTCACATATTAGCATAATCAAACCACTTTAATAAAACATACAAGTAACAAATACGAAAAATATGTTTATTGTACAAAAGATAAATGATTAATTTGTAAATTATACTCACACATCTTTTTGCCCTCTGCAATCAACCTTGCTGCTCAAAATTTAAGCTCAATCATGCATTCTATCATTGTTTTTTCTTTGACACAAAAACAAAAATAATACAACAAATGCATTGAAAAATCAATCAATTATGACACTGAATTCTCTCGCAAAGTGCTTGGAAAAAAATGCATTTTATAAGTAGCACATCTCTGGGTTTAAGATATCCCTCCTGAAATAACTGTCGTCGTTGTATGAAAACAAACAGTCTGAAGAGCCGTAGGGCGCATACTCTGTAGTGGCCATGCCTTCCTGCATATCGGAGCAGTGCGACAGGCAAAAGCAATGCTGGAGGTTGCAGTGCTGATAGTGGTAGTTTTCTGGGGAGAAACTAGAGCTCAGATCCATCCTTGTTGGGGAGCTGTAGCACGAGGAAGATGAAGAGTGGGACTGAGGGGGCGAATAACTGTTGTAATCGACTGGACTAGGGAGATTGAAGGGGTCTGAGGGTGTCCTTGATACCTGAAATAGAATAAACAAACATTAAAAACATGCGTTGCTTCGTACAACACGACATGGTTTGGAATGCTAAAATGCTTTTAATTAAAATAAAAACACATACCAGGCTTGTCCCGTATATGTCCGTATTGGACGGTAGATATCCATTAGACCACTGCGAAGAAGTGGGACACCCGAAATTGCTGTCGCTGAAAGTCTCAGATGGCATCATGTGCATCATCTGTTGATGGTCATAAACATTCTCAATCTGTAAGTTGACATTTTCGGTAAAGGGACGACTTTGGAAATATGGCTCTTGAGCTTGCATTCCAGAGAAGACATCAAGGTGGGCTGTGGGGAAGACAGAAGAAAATGCTGGCTTGAGCACAGGAGAACATTTAAATTAGGCCAGTAAGACTTGAGATGATGTCACGAGACCATCAGCCAACAGCTAAATCACATTTGAATAGTAGTTTATAAAAAAGGAAGATCATTGACGGATCTGTTGGGAGCACCTATAGTAGATGTAGGTTTCATTGTTCCTTTTGTTTATTTTGAACTATTAGAGCTGGTGCCTGGCGATGGATGAAAAAGATTTCTAATTTGGAGTATAGTAAGTTGCATGCAGTCAATGTTTTCATTTGTCTTGTTCTCAGATTTCCTGGTAAAAAAAATCAAGCTCTTACATGTTAGCAGGGAGAGGGTTAAGCAGTTTTTTGTCTGCATTTTCAGGTGCTTATAAGGTTACTGAAATCTGATGCTTTTGTAAACAGTAATGTGAAATGTCTTGACTGCATGTGACAAATGACTGAGACTATCAGTGAGCCACTTTATTTGTCTGATTTTTTTTTTACTTACCATTCATGGTCGTAGAGCAGACATCGCGATCAGCCATGGCTTGTGATTTCTATTGGATTAAAATAGCAAAAGACAAGCAAGCATTAATCATTCGTTTAGAGGAAAGCAGCAGAAATATTTCGTTGTAAAAGCTATTGTGTAGTAACTGAAAATGCAAGCACAGGCCTGAGGGGGCGTGGTGCTTTAAAACATCTGGTTGCTGAATAAATTTGATCTTGCGCTTGTGAAAACCTTTTCATTTTACACTGGCTACCATAAACCAGTCAGAAGTGTCTACTTGTATACATTTTTGTATTTTTTTTTTTTTTTTTTTTTTTTGCGTGCATGTGTGTATTATACACCATTGTTTACCGTTGCAGTTTTCTGTGCCTGCAGGGCTCTGTGCTTCTGCAACAACTCCTTAACTGTGGTCTTCACACGCACACCCTGGTATACCTTCGGTTTATCTGCTGAAGGGAAAGTAAATGTCATTTACCACTAAAATAGGCACTAATTTTCAATATTTTTGTGCAAATTTGCACGATTTATCAATAATTCTGTCCATGCAGAACATAAGTGTTTGTAAGAAAAAAATCCAATGAGATCAGTGTTGTTAGTTATCCACAAGTAGGACAATATTTCTGGCGTTTTTATGTTTTTATTATTTTAAATAAAGTTATCTTGATTTTTCTGTCAAGTTTTAATGTTTATTGTGAAACACATTTACTATTCATTATTTTTAAAGCGTGTCGGGGGCTACAAATATCAGTGAAACTGATTTGAGGGAAAACAATGGTTGCAATGAATACATATTTTATGTTTTTTGATTATAATTTTTTTTATTGTCATTAGCCAATAGGGTCCGTAAACAACATTTGCATACAATAAATGCATTTTTTTTCTATTTTAGGAAATGAACATGCATGAAAAGATAGCATTTCTAAGATTTCCCGTATTTATGATTTTGTACATTGTGTCTTTCTTTCCGCATAAAAGATCCTCTGCAATCAAATAGCTTTGTATTTTCCCCATAAATCCTACCTGTGGAAAAAATAATAATAATTATAATAAATAAATCATCGCACAATGTTGGAAGTCTATCCCCGTCTTCACAGCTCAATTGAAGAGAGTGTGCGACCCGGCAGTGAATGGGTTAGTTTTTGCATTACAATGGATAGTAGTGATTTTCGAGAAACAAGCTCTCCAGCCATCTTTGCTACGAGACGGCGGGTTTAACTTGGAGTTTGTTTTGTGCAGTTGTGAAATAAAACCCAATTCAAAATAGGGGAGAAATAGAATTATTGAGCGTTTCACCCGAGAGCGGAATGCGCAGAAAGTTGGGTCAGAGAGAAGCGAAGTGAAACAATGTAACAGCTGGCGGACTGGGAGAATGAGAAGCTTCCTCTGGAGACGCCGCACATTTCAAAAGTAAGTAAAATACTCTTATAATAACAAAAGCAGCAGCTTACAAGCGATCAAAACAAATGCACAGCTAGAGCGTTGGTAAATGAATGTTTTCAATAGAAAACCAGATTCAGATTTGGTTAAAAATAACAATAAGCCCAGTTTGTTTACGAGCGCGCGGGCGATAAGCTATAGTTTGTTTCTGTAAATTCTCAGAAAAAAAGCCCATAGTCAAAGTTTTTAGGATTTTGCTATAAGCTGTGAAGATGTGAAGTTATTTCTTGATTTATTCAATGGGCAGTCCTCTTTTCTCTTCCTACATGCGCGAAGCCGCGCCTAACATCTTCCCCCAAATTTGCGAAACGCGTAAAAATAGATGAAAAAGTTGTAGTCCTTCTTTTCTAATTTTTTAATTGGTTGTTCAGGCTTGTGAAGACATTCACAGTGGGACGTCTTCCTGATCCGCGTTAATATAGGCTATATAAAAATTCTGTAGTAACATAAGTTGGTTCTAAACAACGCCACGCCATGGCTGAGTTCATGGAGGCAGTTGAGTTTACAGAGTAAAAAGTGCGCTGATGTTGATAAGATATCAAAAACGTCCCCTCGGCACTGTTTTGATGGGCTCCTTGAGATAGATATGCGAGTTAGAATATCCTTATAAATATTCATACACGCCGTGAAGAATAATTTGAATTCTGTTTAATAAAATTACGCTCAGCCACCGTTTAATGTTATTCCGAAAGGTAAATCTCAATAAGACATGGTCTTCGATATCGTACTAAAATGTAAAAAAAAAAACGACAATAAATAAACGTTCATTTAACCCATGTTCAATTTTGCTCGAGGAAAAGTTCAGTAAAATACAATGAAAGAAACTCAAGCTATCAATAAAACATGAGCTTTATAACTATGAATAATATTTCCACAAACTGCCATAATAATAAAAATGCATGTATATAAAAATGCACTAATTAGTTTAAAATCAATCCTTCACACGTTTTTGCTGTTTTAAAATTTTAGTTAGGCTGCATGCTTTGACCAGTACATTTGCAAGCAATTCATCTATCAAAGTTTGAATTTGTATTAATATTTTTTCTCAATGTTTTTCAGATTGCTGAAGACAGAAAACATCTTAAACGAAAAGAATAAAAGAAAATTGACTTACCAGACATATTGGCCTGAAAAGGAGGAAAACTCTGGAAGAGCTACAGTGAAATACCCCAACGTCAGTTCTTTGCTCTATTATATGGGCAAGAACGAAATATTCACAAAAGTATCAAAAAGTCTTAACAAAGTAACCTCAAAACACTCTCATGACATACAATTAAACAGTATTATAGCTAGGGATATTTTAGTTTGAGTTTTTCTCCCCTCATCCCTACTATTTAAAACCCCAAGAACTCAATGATTTGACAATGATTTGATTGCGCGATACTTTCAATTTGAATATTCAAAGGCTTCGTAAAAAGACTCATTTCTGAGTGAAATTCGCTATTAAAGTGGATAAAATAACATCTCTTGTAATAGAATGTTATGTCATTTTACATTTTGACATCAACCAAATATATATTTTTAACATTTTATCATCCTTTTGGACTTGGTGGTTGGAGTCTCCCTTAGAAACACTATTTCAACTTTGCAGCAAGTCTGAAAGCACAAATGATGTTTTACATGTCATGACACATTGTAAATATCTTCAGTAATAGGTAGTCTTGTGGAAAAAAATAAATATTCCCTCTTGTAAATTAGATTTATGCATTATTTTAAGAATTACTGGAGTAGTGGGCGTGGCATATGATAGCAGCCATGTTTGTCACCAGCACAATTGGGACGTCAGTAAAAGTCAAAGTAATGCAATAGTGGAGGCATCTATACAAATGATAAATATGAAATATGTTTAATTTAATTTGTAAATTTAATTGAAAGTGTCAGCCGAGTTGCTGAAAACCAAGGCAAGCTATAACGGACATAAAAACCAACAGTATTTAATATTCATTAATTTCTTTCCTTACTGCATTTTTCTTTTCGATGAGTTGTTAAATAAATAAATTAATATGGCATGTTTATTAGCATCATCAAACAGACCATGAAAAAAAAGCCTGAAGTGGGCTGCAGTTTGATGCTGAGTGATGCTGAAGAGAGTCTCACACATCCGACTTTGGCCACTATTACTTTTGAAGTAGCTAATGCGAAAGAAAAATGGCAAGTAATAAAAATCTCTTAAAATGCAGAACCATCATAATTATGTTGTTTATGTAAGTGTGTCGGATTATTTGTCACGCATTTAAGACTGAAAGCAGCCGTCAGAATTGATGACAAGCAGGTGTTCTTTGTCTGAGAAAAGAGGTCGGAAAACAAGTCTGCGCTACATGAAGTACAGTCTAATTTACACATTTCGTTTGCAGGTGAAAAATAATTATATATTCAAGCATTAATAAAGCACGGAAGAGTTTTTTGTCGTTTTAAAGCATCCTATTTAAAGTCAATTACTCCAAGGGCACGTCTCTTCTTGTTTGCTGAAATAGTTTTGTAAAGTTAATCGGCTGCAAACAGATTAGCGGTTTCAAAATATAATTTTCAAAACTTTTGCTTTTTGTCATTCGTTTTAATAAACAATTCGTTCGTAATCCTAAATCTCTAAGTATCGTTCAACTGGGTTGGAGGAGTTATTGCGAGGTAGTTGAACGTCGCCCTCTTGTGATGAAACAGAGGAAGGCGTTTAACTGTGTTTTCACTATGCAAGTCACGCAATGCTTACTCACATCATATCATTTGCGTATTTTTCAAGCATGTAATAACATTAAAGATAAGGCTAATGCGTGATCAGTGCTGGAAATAAAAGTTTCTATCAGTTTAAAAATGTTCCAGAAAAGTGAGTCATGTTGTGTTTGAACGATATTGTGTTTGAACGTTATTTTGGGCCTTGTGTCTCTTCCTGCCCGTTATGCTTTATTTTTTTCTGTTATTTTTCTAACGTTTTGCATCTTGTGCAAAAAAAAAAAAAGTTTTATTATATAGTTTTTTTTTTTATTCTTCTGGTCTGATAATAATTTTTTTAAAGGCCCAGGTCTGATTTATTTACTTTATTTCTCTCTCTCTCTCTCTCTCTCTCTCACACACACACACACACACACACACACACACACACACACACACACACACACACACACACACACACACGAACACACATATATAGACAAACCAAATCACTTACAATAATACCACTGTATAATTGTTTTTGTCTGTTCATCTTTTACTCAAAGCTGGGTTGAAATAACAATGCACAATTTTTAGATTGAAATAAAGACCTACTTTGAATGTTCAAATGTCAAAAAATGGTGCAATAATGTTTTATCATTATTCAGTGTAACAGATGATGTAAAAGGGAAATGCCTATATTCTGATGTACCCTCTAAAATATGCTGTATTTACTCAACTCGTATTTGGGTAAATTTGAACAAACCCAAATATACCAAGTTCAGAATCTAAATTAAAGTTTGGATTGCACAATGATCTTTAGTGAGTGTTGTCTTTGTTTTTTGTTTTTTTTTTTTGTGTTTTTTTGATAGTTATTGTTTTCTTAGGGAATTAAAACATTGAATGCACAAGGTCACAAATAAGAGACCACTTAAAAGTTCTCAGTTTCTTTAATATATATGCTCAATTACATGTTTGAGTAAAACACAATTCTTCTAAAATTTAATTGTAAATGTTATTTAGAGTATAAAATGACCTCTGGTCGAAGTTATAAAAAAGTACACATAACTAATATTTTAACTTTAACTTAGAAGAGTTAAGAAATCTTCTTGATTTCTTGAAAAAAAAAGTTTAAAAAATAATTTCAGCCAACAAGTGCATTTATTTTGACCAATAGTCATTTTCAGGAAAAAGCAACAGCATTTTTCTATAGCTATTGATAAATGATAGCTCTTGATTTAATCATTTATGGCGAAATCTGTTTCCAACATCTTTCAAAAATGCTGACATTGTATTGTGAAGCTATATAATAATAATACTTGCATTTTTGATTGTTCTTAATCCTTCTACCATACATATTTTTGTTATGTTTTCATAAGACACAAGTTGTCACATCAAATGCAAAACAGGGCATGTCACTGTGCTGTTGAGTTACAAAAACACATTTTTTGTAAATCTAGTTTATTCAGTTTTTAGAAATTTAACAACAGGATTTTGAATGAAATTGTCACAAGAAGAGAAATAGGACTAACTAGATATTACACATCTACAATAAATATTGTAACAATGTAAAAACAAAAACTGCTGTACAGATTCAAGTCCGCTCACACAAAGAACAACAACTATAAACATAACAATAGTAGAGTACAGTGATGTTTTTTTATTATTATTATTAAAGTGTGCAACAGTTTGATCACTGCTGCTTTAAATACTCACACTTTTGAAAGCAAGATGGTTTTGTCTGTTCTGGAAACAAATTGTTCTTAAAATGATTCCAACCATAGTGTGTTTGGTTATCATTATTATTGTGATGTGGACTCTGCTATTCAGCGATATAACTTCTTTTTTCACTATAACATAGCTACAATCGTGGTGTGGACAGTCTTTTATACTGACTATTACCCTAATTATCCTGCTAAGACAATATAACCTGTGCTTACAAAAAAACAAAAAAACAAAAGATATAATTATAATACATACAAATACAACATTAAACTGAAGATAAAGTGTTATTTGTTCCCCAATATATTAAAGGGAAAGTCGACCCAAAAATTATTAATTACTCATTATTTATTCACCCTCAAGTGCTTCAAATCCAGAGTATCTTTCTCCTTTTTGAATGTAGAAGAAGATATTCTGAAGAATGTAGGAAACTGGTTGCTATTTATTTCTATAATAATTTATTGGTTTCCAACATTCTTCAAAACAATAGATGGTATAGGCATAGACAGACCATAATCCTTTTAAAATAACCTCTGCATTGTATTAAAGGCAACGCATATTCTAGACCACAAATCACTCCTCATAGGTTATAGTGCATTGATATTACCATATTTAAATTACTGCTCTGATGTTTAGATTATTATGTTGCTAAAAATAGTAGTACAGATGATTAAATCAAAGAAATAAAAATATATTGACTTGCTTCATTTTTGAACATCAAAAATAATGTATAACCCACAGAATAATTGACTTCCAGTTAATATTCTAAAATGGTTTATTAACGGAAAAGAGAGGTATCATTTTAGGGGTGAGTGTAACATCAAACATCCTTATGTTTGTAAAACAGCATTAAGCAGTTTTTTTGTAGTTCTGTGTATGGTGTGAAAATGTGGAACAAACTAGGTCTAGACCAAAGATGCCCGCTGGTGAAAGTTGGCCCATGGTAACCTTTGATTTGACCCGCCATCCTATCTGAGAAGAGAGGGAGAATGGGAATGGTTTAGAGATTGTCATTTCAAATTTAATGTAATCTTTTATTTGAAATTAAATTAAATTAAATGTTTCAATTCAAATGGTGTTATTTAATCAGATTTAGTTTAAAATGTACATACTGTCATTAGACAGATAGAATACTTTGGTGAGCATATCAAGGCAAAGGCAGATTCTGCTTGACTAGTTTATTCAGCATTGGACCTCTGCTATTATAAATGTGATTAAAATTATAGTTTAAATAGGTTATACTGCATTAATTAATACGATATAAAGTAATGTTTTCTATTTATTTTTTAAATAAAATTATGAAATTACTCATGGCAACTTTAATGTAAAATAGTTTAGTATATCAATGACATTTGGTTTCTGTCCTTTCATACAAAAATGTTTTGGCCCCCCTGGTCTAGACTCTAGAGCTCCAGCAATGTCCAAGTACAGGTATGATCCAGTATAAAATTTTTTTTTAAAAAATCAAAGAAACAATAAACATATGGTTTTCAGAATATACAGTGCTCAGCATAAATAAGTACACTCTTCATAAATCTCTCTTTTAAATTTGTATTTTTAATTGGAAGCTATACATTATTATATTTGTGAATATATATTAAATTAGTCAGTACTGAAGCCAAATCTGAAGCTTATCTAACAAAAAACGTAGAATAACGGTCCAAAAACTAGTACAGCCAAATTTATATGTTAGAGAAAAATAATGAATACAAATAAAAAAAAAAAAAAAAAGGAAAAATCTACAAAAGCAAAAAAAAAAAAAAAAAATTTTGTTGAAATTTTGTAGGGTGTAATTTTTCATTTTTTGCAATATTTTGCTTGAATTTAGTGTATTATCTTTTAATTTCTAAAGTTGTTCTGTGACTAAGATATTATTTGAATAAATATATTTGTTTAATACATCTGTTTTGTTTAAATGCACCAAAATACATTATTCACTGAGAAATGGACAAATATATTCATTTTCAAAATGTGGTGTACTCAATTATGCTGAGCACTGTATCTGGAAGAAGAACAGATTTAAGTGGTGTCCCAACAGTTTGTATACATTAGTAAAACATGCATGAAAACAATATATTAGGGTAAGAATGAGATGGAGTTAATCTGCACTCTTTTAAATTGTTATGGATTATTTTTCATTGTTATGGAAGTTTTACCTGTATTTAATGTAGAGCTGGTAAAAGTGGTAAAGATAAATACGCATATGATTCATACTTTAACTTTTTGGAATAATTAAAATTGCACTATTTTGCTTTATTTATTAATGTAATTGTATTTTTTAAATACATTTACAAAATAAAGCCTAAACAGGAACAACTGGAGGGTAAGTAAATGATTTTCATTTTTAGGAATACGAATCCCTTTAAATCTTAGTTCGGTTAAGTAAAACTAACAATTTGGTGCTTTTTCAGAGCTAATGGTCTTACTTGTGTATGGAAGAGGTGCTGATCTGCTTTATATCCTCACAGCTGAATATATCAGAATGCCCTCCTGACCTCATACTGTGGCCATGTGCTGCCCGTGTCCTCTTTGCCCCATACCAGACCGTCGCTCAGGGCTGAAGAGGTGTTTTCAGTGTCTTCAGAGGGCAGAACTGGCGCAAGTTTGCTTGCAGGCTCAGCCATGAATGAAGAAGAAGCAAAGCTGGTGGAGGGTGACTGAAACGAGGAATGATAGCCGACTTCATCCAGTGTGTGTAGAGAGTAGGACTGTGAGGACGCCATGCTGGACCCTCGGGACGACGAGCTGAACTGTGTTGGGCTGGTGGATTCAGGATTCACCAGAGAACTGGGCGTAGACAGAGGTAATGGAGCAAGAGCATCTCCACAAAAGCCCTCCATCACCTCCGTCCCTGCGGACTCCCATGAGTCCCTCTGTACATAATAGAAAAATGATGGATCATCAGTATATGCCTCTGATTTACTTACAGATAATCAGAACACCTTTAAATGACGAGGAACTAAAAGGTTAAAGTTGAGCTACTCTTCTACACTGTAAAAACAAATGCAGGTTTCCACACATTTCATTCATGTTGTCCCAACACAAATCGATTAACACAAAAAGTTAACACTTTTAACAAATGTGTGTGGATTGCACATAAAAAATTAAGTTGCCCCAATTAAATCGTAAGAATTTTGTTTCAACTCATTTAAAATATGTAGTTTGAACAAGCCAAAAAAAGAGAGAAGTGATAATTAAAGGGTAGATATCACACAACTTACAATAGTTGTGCAAAAAGGAGAATACTTTAAAAAGTATATAAATGGATATTTAAAAAAATAAATAAAAAAAGCACTTACACTTGCCAGTTTTCAGGAAAGAAAAATATATATCTACAAATGATTTGTTAACCTTATCCTTTAATTATAGGTTTAACATATATCCTCACATTTTTAAGATATTTATATCCTTACATATTTTACATTTAACATATTTATATGCTTGGCCACCACTGCCAACCCACCAGCGGGAGAGTGTTGTGGTAAGGGTCGACACATTTAAGAAAGGTTGTGAACCATCTGACATCTAATTGTGCCTGAAAGCTGTGGTTACATAGTAGAGTAACAAAAGGAAGCACCAAAAAGTGCATGTCACAATATCCTCACATATTTATACATTTAACATATTTTTATCCTCACATATTTAACATATTTATACATTTAACATATTTATACATTTAACATATTTTTATCCTCACATATTTAACATATTTATACATTTAACATATTTATACATTTAACATATTTTTATCCTCACATATTTAACATATTTATACATTTAACATATTTTTATCCTCACATTTTTAACATATTTATACATTTAACATATTTTTATCCTCACATTTTTAACATATTTATACATTTAACATATTTTTATCCTCACATTTTTAACATATTTATACATTTAACATATTTTTATCCTCACATATTTAACATATTTATACATTTAACATATTTTTATCCCCACATATTTTTACATTAAACATATTTTTATCCTCACATATTTTATTTATATCCTCACATATTTAACATATTTATATCCTCCTCAAATTATATGTTAAACATATATAAAAAAAAAAATTAATTGAGATATTTTATGCACATCACTCTTTGGAAAGTTATTATTTCTTTACATTTACTAAAGTACTCCCAGGGCCTGGATGATCAGGAAATACACACATACACTACGAACAATTTAGCTTCCCCAATTCACCTACTTCATGTCTTTGGACTTGTGGGGGAAACTGGAGCATCTGGAGGAAACCCACGCGAACACGGGAGCATGCAGACTCCACACTGAAACGTCAACTGGCCCAGCCAGAGCTCAAACCAGCGATCTTCTGTGCCGCCCAGAATTCTTTACATTTACAATGTACACACATCTCCTTTTTTAAAAAAATCTTAGATGGAAGAGATTTTTTTGCAACTTTTGTAATTGTTAATTTTTAGAAATATATAATAATATATTAAATATGGTAACACATTACGATACAAGATACAATTACAATACAAGATACAGTAATTATGTTAATTAGTGCATTTACCAACATGATTAAACTATGAACAATACTTGTACAACATTTAATAATTATAGTTCAACATTTACATTTAAAATCCAAGACTGTGCTTGTTAACATTAGTTAATGCACTGCGAGTTAACATCAACTAACAATGATCAACTTTATTTTATCAAAAAAATGTAATTAGGATGAATAAATAATCTGAGTAATAAATGTATTGTTCATAGTTTATGTTGGTCCATACATGTACTCCATGTCCACAATTCACATAATAGTGAATAAGTACATAAAACATAACAGTTAATCAAATGTATAACAGTTACAAAATCATTTTAAAATGTGGGTGTGCATTTATATATAAACAATTTTAATATATACATATAAAATGAAAAAAAGCTTTCACCAAAATAGCTAAACCATTTTTTGATTTTTTTAGCAAGTATTTTACAGTACTTTAAAAATACTCAAAACATCTCTATTAGAGTTTTCAAACTATTATAATTGATTTACCAAAGTCGCACTAATGGCATTTTCACATTTGTCACATACATAACGAAAACTGTCACATGTCACATCCATAACAAAGCTCATTCCCTCATGCAATAAAATGACAAGTAAAATCAGATCAATCATTTTTGTTTTATAGTAAGCTAACTCTTATTCTTTTGATTAGCATTAGTTCTTTTGTGCTGTTTAATTCATATACTATAGTATGTTATATACTGTAAACTCGCAGACATTTTTGGTCACATCGATAATGCATGTGTATTTTCCCCATTTTAAACATAATATTCTCTGATACCATAACTCTGTGGTTAGTTGTTTTGGAAAATATAAACAGATGTTTTAAAATTATGTTTAAAAATTATATTTAAAATTAACATATACGTTCTCTGTGAATTTATGTTTTGAGATTTTGCTGCAATGTCACATCCATAACGCTGGAATTGCGCATATATATATATACATATATATACATATATATATATATATATATATATATATATATATATATATATATATATATATATATATATATATATACATACACACACACACACACATACATATATATATATATATACATACACATACATATACACACATCACACATTTGCTCATATATATATATATATATATATATATATATATATATATATATATATATACATACACACACACACACACATACATATATATATATATATACATACACATACATATACACACATCACACATTTGCTCATATATATATATATATATATATATATATATATATATATATATATATATATATATATATATATATATATATATATATATATATAATACAAATGAGAATTTTGGAGTCATTTCAGGTAAACCATAAAGTGAAAGTTTCTCAATTGCTTTTGTTTTGCAGGTCTTCAGTAAACATTTTGAGCATGTTTAAAGCATTTGTGCACATTTAATTGTTAAGTTAGTTTAGTTAGCTTTAACAAGCATTAATAGTATTTGATTAATTACTTACACAATGAAGAATATGCAGTTTTATTGTCCACTTGATTATTTTATTCCTGTACCTGTATACTGTTAGACTCCTTCATTTGCATATTTACTCTGATTTATTTATCTCTTCCTGTAATTTGTTTACTATATTGTATGCACTCTCAAAATCAACCCAATCAATCTCAAATTATTAATTTAATTTTAATTAAATAAATTATTACGGTATTACCTGTTTTTAGCACTTATAAAGTATAATCTTATTCTACATCCCTAATCCAACTTTAACATCCCTAATAACAACAATAAAAAGAAGCTAATTAGTAGTTTAGAGCTTATGGCCTCAGTCAATAGCTTGTTAATAGTGTGAATTGCGCATTAAAATAAAGTGTGACCTGAATCATATAAACACATCTCTATTACATTAATATTTATCGACGCTTGATTTTATTTACTGATTCATATGGACAGACATTGACTACAATTCACATGAGATCTGGGATCCTGTGATCTGCTCTTACTCTATCTTACCAGTAAGTAATGTGAAGGGTCACTTGAGTAAGAAGGCAGCAAAGAGGACAATGCAGAGGGTGAGAAGATTGTGCTTCCTCCACTAGAGAAAGAAGTGCTGCGATAATCTCCAAAAGACTCAGGATAGTAGCTTTCTATGAGAGACGAATAACCAGTCACGCATCCGCTATCACACGAGAGAGATTTCCCAGTAAGTGAAGAGGGGTAAACGTCCGCAGAAAATGCTTTTGTTGAGGAGCAGAACTCTGTCTCTGAAATGAAAGGTCTTCTCATGCCGTAGTAACTCGGGAGCATGTGAGAACCTGAAGAGACCACAGCCATTTGGATTATTATTATTAAATAATTGACCACAGAAGAAATCTAAAAATAAAATTGCACATTTCAGAATTAAATACACTTGTATTGTAAACTCACCAGTCATTTGAACAAATGGATTTGGAGGAGATGAAACACCCTAGAAAGAAAAGATCAGCATAACATGATTAGTTTGTCATTAATCATCGGTTTTCTGTGATCATTTCGTTTATTTGACTAATGCAATCCTGTCTTAATGGCACATGACAGGCTAACACACAAACTATTTGCATGCATCAATTGACCTGCCAACAAATTTCAAGAGTAAAGAGTTTTTCAGTATGAAAAAAAATATATATCTTACATATTATCCAATTCACTCAAAAATTATTTTGGCTGCTTGTTCAAATTACTTATTTACAATGAGCTGAAATAATACAACTCAGGAAATGTTTTTAGGAAACTTAATTGTTTATTTTCAATCCACCTATATTTGTTGCGTTAATTTATTCAATTATTAAATAAATTAATTGTGTGAAACCCTGCATTTTTTACAGTGTTCTCTTGCAATCAAGTTTTAAAAGACTACAGGATGAGAGTAAAAGTGTTAAGATGAGAGTGTTGCAAGGCAGTGGCGAAGTAGGTAGTGCTGTCGCCTCACAGCAAGAAGGCCGCTGGTTCGAACCTCGGCTCAGTTGGCGTTTCTGTGTGGAGTTTGCATGTTCTTCCTGCATTCACGTGGGTTTCCCCCACAGTCCAAAGACATGCGGTACAGGTGAATTGGGTAGGCTAAATTGTGCGTAGTGTATGAGTGTGTGTGTGTGTGTGTGAATGTGGATGTGGATGTTTCCCAGAGATGGGTTGCGGCTGGAAGGGCATCCTCTGCGTTAAAAACTTGCTGGCTAAGTTGGCAGTTCATTCCGCTGTGGCGACCCCGGATTAATAAAGAGACTAAGCAGACAAGAAAATGAATGAATGAATGTTCTAATTGTTTTACCCTTAACTGCAAAATTGTTTAGCCAATCTTCGAACATATTTTTTCTGTTTTTAGTGACTCTGACCAATGTAGGGCTGCGCGATAATAAAAAAAAATTATAATAAATTAATATTACGATATTTATTTATTTATTTTTTGCAATATATGTTGTAATATGAATACAATTTCACCAGATGACTTGAAAATTTTTATTTGGGATGAATTCATTAATTTAGATTGATTGAGATGATCTAGTCTTTTTTATGCACTGATGCTGAAACAATATATTGTGCAGCCTTAATATATATATATATATATATATATATATATATATATATATATATATATATATATATATATATATATATATATATATATATATATGCATAACATGGCTTGATGTGGCAATAACTATAATGCATTAATAACAATTGCGAAAGAAAACAAAGGTTATGTATTTTAGGGGAGCGAAGGGTACAAAGTAACGCGGGGTTAAATGTAACAGAGTTTTAAGGTATTTGCTTAGGGTTACTTATGGCATGCTTCCGGAAATTTGGATGAGAAACACAGGAGAAAGCATTTTTGCAGCATAAAATTATTTTTTTTTTTATTATAGTCTATACTTTTTATTTAAACAAAATCTGTGAAAGTATATGTAAAATCTTATATTGTTGTGATTACAATCTACTAGACTAAAAGATGAAACCATTTTGAAAGATGTAAAAAAAACGCAGTGACTGCTAGCCAGTTTTGAGACTTGACACAGCGGGGTTAGTTGTAACAAGGTGTTACGAAGCTAAAAACCGCTGGACACCAATTAAACTAACAAAATATTTTTTTGAATTTGAGTGTAATGTTGAGAACTTTTTCAATAAAAATGTTTTTTAATAGAAAATATTTTTTAATAGAAACATGATAATGTTTACATAGATAATGATGCAAATAAATGCATTGTAAAATAATAGATAAATGGATAATATTGCAAATAGCTTCAAATGTGTTCATCCAATAAACAAATAAATCAATAAGCATACTATGCTATGTTGAATAAAAATGAAATGAGCCAATTACTGAGGAAATATAGCTACTATTTAAGGTAAACAGAAGTTAAATTAACTGTGTAACATCTGCCTTTGTTACAACTAAACCCTGTCTGTTACAACTTGCGCCGCAGGTGGGGTAAAGAGTAACATTTTTACTCTAAGCACTTTTGGCAATACTACACAGAAACCATAGGTCTGGCGATCATAATTTCAATGCTCATTTGTAGAAGAGGCTTGTGTGTTATTAGTAAAAAAAAAAAAAAAAATGGTTTGTCTAACCCCGTTACTTTGTTCATTTTTAAGCATTCTTTGTTCAGATTTAAGCAAACTGAGCAACTATATTCTCAAAATCTATAATTTGATAAGCTAAAAGGATATTCACCAGTTCCAACAAATTTTGGTGACAATCATATTTGAGTGATTGCTCTGTAGTTAAAGCCAGTCAGGCCATTTCAAGTTCTGCTGAAGATATACTTATGTTTCTTTTGTGCTTGTGGTAATTATGTGTGAAACATCACTCATCATAGTGTATGAGCCAGTGCCACCTGGAGGAATAAAGGTGAAGGGCATCTATTGAGGTGCACTGGACAAAATATGCTCTCATTATTACATAGTAGCGAGTAAGCAACCCAAAACACTTTGTACCAAAAGTCAAGCCAAGTCATGCCAACAAAATGTATGTGTTTGTTACCTTAACTAATTAAAAGAGTAAAATAGGTTAACTACTTTTCAGCTTAATTGGTTCAAGTTATACAGCGTTCATCTAGATAATTTAGGGTCAGTTTAATGTAAATAATGAAAAAAAATGTTTAGCGCAGTAACTAATTTCACTTCCTGTGTAATGAATAACAGGTAATGGTTTAACTGTTAATGGTGTGCAAGCTGACATTATCAAAAATAAAAACCTGTCCAAAAAACAAAATATTCACTTTGTAATGATGCTATAATTCCAGTTCAAAACAAAATATTTATAAATATTTTCATTTTAAATTTATAAGATATTATATACTTCAACAAGCAAGAGTGACATTGTTCCAACTATAAGCAGGAGTGTGATCACAAATCGGATACTGATTTTATACAACAGCTCAACAAACAAGAGGTCTTTTTAGAATTGACGGAAGAGATTAAGTCACTCTGATTTAATAAACTTATTTTATGGGAACACTGACAATAAATGGCATTGGTATGAGACTGGACAAAGTACTTGGAAAAGTACTCACTGTTCCAACTAAATCCAATAAAGGTAAAACTATCAACTAACTAAAGCAGGAAAAAAGGAACAAGGGTTAAATAGGTCAAACTAGAATAGACCCAAAACATGAGAGAAAAGCATAAGTCAAACCCTTATATGGGATAACAGATTTAGAAATCATGCATAATTAAATAAAAATTTGATGAAGGGGCTGTTTATCATATACTCGGGCTAAATAAATCAAACAGATATCAGATATGAGCTAAAAGGAGTTAGAGATGGAGGAGAAAGTTTGGAATTGGCATTCAGCCAAGCAGATGTATGATTTAAATGGATCACAGTGATAGATGTCAACACTAGATTGGTAACTTCTGACCATGAGCCTGATGCAAGCTTGACTGACCTGTCCTGCCTAACTAACACACTGCTTGATTTTAGAGCTGGTAAAAAGTGTAAAATACAAACATGACGGACATTCAAAACCAACAATCAGAGGCTTCAATAAAGGGGTTTGAATGATTACTAGTAAAATGAAGCCTACTAGAAAATATTTAACTCACATTTTGCGTGTTATATTTAATCTGCAACAACAATGTAAACTTCTATAAAGAAACATTTTGGCATAACTTTTGAATGAATAAATATGCAAAAACCTGAGGAGATTTCTCTGCATGAAAGATTTACAAATGTCAAATTAACCTGCTGCTGGATCTCCAATAAATAAGGTAATTTATTATGAAAGAAATGTGCATTATGTGTCAAGATGATTGACAAGACACAAAACTAAGCAATATAAAAGTCTGTTAATAAGGAAGTAGTATGTCCCAAAGCTTGCCTACTGCCTATTTTCAACTAATCATTTGAATGATTTATTCAGCGAATCATTTATTAAAATGGGCTGTATCTGTAATCGCTCCAAATACCCTTATTCACAATTCCCTATTATTCACTAATGCAGTCCACTTAAAGGAGTAAATTGAGCACTGATTACACCAGAAGAAATGTCATTTTGTTAGCAAGCTATCAGTTAGTAATGAAAAAGTATTTTCATTTCTGTCATGTATACAAACGTAATTTGACAATAAAATAATACATTATTTAGAACTTATACATATAGGATCTTGCTGTGGATGCCATCTTTAGTCAGACATGGAGGTTAATCTGGCGCACTGTCACAGTGCATTATGGGAATTCTCTACGGTGGCTGGGAGAGCTTAATGTGTTGCAATTTAAGAAAACGTGCAATTACAAAAAATGCCAGCAAAATGAGAAAATCTTCATCAGTTTCACAGCACATGTGCGGCAAAATCTCCCAACACAAACATATATTTAAAAAGCGTGCTGCATTTTCACAAAATGCAAACAATTAAAAAAACACGCTGCATTTTCACACAACGCAAACAATTAATAAAACAGGCTGCATTTTCTCACAACGCAAACAAATGATTAAAACATGCTGCATTTCCACACAACGCAAAAAATTTATAAAACGTGCTGCATTTTCACACAACACAAACAAATTTATAAAACATGCAGCATTTTCACACAACACAAACAAATTTATAAAGCGTACTGCATTTTCACAGAACGCAAACAATTGATAAAACGTGCTGTATTTTCATAAAACATGAACAATTATTAAAACATGCTGCATTTTCACACAATGCAAACAAATTCATAAAACACGTTGCATTTTCACACAATACAAACATTTAATAAAACAGGCTGCATTTTCTCACAACACAAACAAATGATTAAAACCTGCTGCATTTTCACACAACACAAACAAATTCATAAAAACGCACTGCATTTCCACAAAATGCAAACATATTAATAAAACGTGCTGCATTTCACACAACACGAACAATTAATAGAATGCTCTGCATCTTCACACAACAGAAACACATTAATAAAGCTCGCTGCATTTTCTCACAACGCAAACAAAC